CTCCTAAAGTTTGGAAATCAGCATTTAATTCAGCTAGACAATATTGACTCTACCTTAGTGTCAGTAGCTGTAGCTACTAGTCTTCGCTTTGTTTTCCTGTCATAGTTCTTTTTTAAGGTGTTATTTTTGGATCAGTGATGTTTTCTGAGTATTGTAAGTTAGGAATCATCTAAGATTTGGAAACGTACTGCATTCGTTGTACTCTTGCTGTCTTCCTCCCCCCACGCCAGAAGTGCCTATCTTGGGTTATAGATCTTGTCGCTCCTTGTAAGATACACATTTTGTCCATATTATGATTCAGTTAATAATACTTCTGCACAGACAAATTGCAGCTCTGTTCACAGGCATTGTGACTTGGAAGATTTGATTATTAGAGACTATGATTGCCTTTAGAAATCCCTGCACACGTCTTGCTGTGTGATAAACCAGGTAGTTGTCTTTCAGCTCTGTGGGTGTGCAAGGGTGGAGTTTGTGTACCTGGAGTCATACCCATAGGAAAGGTCTTTAGGCAGGTTGCAAAAGAGCTTGAGGAAGGCACTTGGTATTAGTTTTTCCTACTGCTGATGTATCAATGTTTTATCTGTAATTTTGTTCTCTTGGGTTCTTCTGCAGAGCTTCCTGGGCAACGTTTGGTGCAGGTGTTAAGTACTTGGATGGAATTGTTTGTGAGTGATTTTGGCACATGGTGCTGGCTGTTCTTTTTACTAGATGTCAGGTGGCAAGTAGCAGGGTGGGTTTTTGAGTGGGCTTCCTGGAGGGGCCAACTCCCAGGGCACTTCACAGAGCATGGCAAAAAGGCACCAAAGTAGAATGAGGGGGTTTGGCATATTTTTTTCAGATTCTTTGTGTCTTCCAGGTGTTCTCTGTGTTCCTCTTACTCTGTTTTGGCTTTTGTCCTTGAGTTGACTTTCAAGACCATGTTTCTGGGGGCATGGAAGTTCCTGCAGACTCAGGAGTTTGTTTTTCTTTTGCCTTTCTTTGCTTTGTTCTTTTTCAAGCCACCTGCATTTGCAGATGCAGCACAGAGTGGCAGTTTTCTACCAAGATGGGTTTAATTAAATCTAAAAGCTTGTAATCACAAGCTTTGGTGGGACAGACTATGAAAATGCAGTGTAAATGGTGCATGCAAATTTTAATGAAGTGACCTCTAACTGTAATTAAGCAAAAAGATAATTGCGTTATCCTAGATGCTACAAATTATTTACATTACTATTTTATATGGATGACTAACAAAGTATAGGAAGGGGAAGCAAGTTTAAAAAAACAACACAGCTTTGGTATATGTCATCTGTATGTCTTAAATATCTGTATGAATACATGAAAGCATGGTACTGATTTCACCTTTTACCCAAGTAGACAAATGCAAGGAAAAGATATCTGATCAATCAAGAGAGAACTTCTTAAACATACTGCATATATCAGTCAAATACTTTCATTTTTTGATTGCAGATCTTTTGTTTTAAAACAACAACAACAAATAAATGAATAAAAGACAAACATATATATATATATATATTTATTTTTAGAGTTATTTTAAGGGTGTGCTGCAACTTAATAGAGCTTAGAAGGAAAAGTGATTTTCTTTCTAGCTCTTATCTGCTGAATTTTTCACTTGTTTGCTCATGAGTTGTGCTTGCTATAGAGTACACTGCTCTCACAGTTCTTTAAATTTTCGCATATGAACCTGTATATAAATTTCTGCAATCATCTTTAGCAAACGCAAATCCAAAAATTCATTTTCCCTGTCAGTTTCTTTTATAGATAGCTGTTAACTGTATGCACTATTGAGAAACTCTGAAATATTTTATTTTGGTAACAATTGTTACCGCTTCCATTTTTAAGATAAAATGCAAAATTCCCTTTAGTTTATATAAAGTTTATAAACATTGCAAAAATGCTGATGTTAATCTTTGTCTCTAATAAACACCTTGTATAATAGGGATTATATAATCTCTTACATGATAAGAATTTCATTTTTATTTTAAATTTATTTTCTATTTAAACATGCTATTTCATGTATTGTAAAGTAGACAGCATGCTAAAATGTTTTTGCTCTGTTTTTTAAGTAAATGGAGTGTGGCATTGCTGTAACTTTAACCTAAAATTTTGGCTATATTACATTAACTGAGAAAAGAATAGACTTTTAACATAGATTGGGGGACACTTTAAACTAAACGTGGATCAAGGAAAGGTGTAACTCTGTGTGTGTGTGTGTACGCATATAAAAACATATTCAGATAATGGCTTTGTGTGTCTGTAATAAAGGTAAAATTCTTAAATGATCCATTTGTCTCATGGGCTTTCTGTAATTTTCTACCTATTTTATATACGTTGTCTAAAACAAATTCTTCCCCTAGACATGAATATAGCCTGGTTATGAATGCCTGCCTATCTCAGATTTCTTAAACTCTTTTTCCTACAATATTAAAAATAATTATTTGAAGGTCAGAGCTAGAAAATTGGAGGGTAAAAGAAAATTCTGCTTACGTTTTACAGGAAGTCCTGTTTTGAACAGATCCTGCTCTAAGGAAGAATTATTAAGTGGTTGAGTTGCATGTGCTGTTTTTATTTCAGTAAGCCAACATTATGAAAGTAGAGAAAGAGGAGAAATTTCAAGTTTATAAAGCAGGTATTGCTAGAAAAATATCTAATTTGTATTGAAATGCATTTAATTCTAAAGTATCCTGAAGTCTGACTAAGTAGCTAGAACAGGACAGGACGAAACACTTAAAAAATCCAGTTACCACACGATACACAAAGCTTGTGTAGTCATAACTGTTCATTTGGAGATGCTTATAGTAAAAGCTTGTAAATAATTATAACTTCCATTGTATTTTCCTTTTATTGTTCTTTTTTTTTTTTTTTTTTTTTTTTTCCTGCTGAACTGCTCCCCAGGGTGTAGTACTAAATTGTAGCAATTGTTCCTAATGTACTTTCTCCTCTTCCTACCCCAACATCATCACATCATCTATGGAATTATGTTGCTGTCATTCCCTTGACTGTTGTTATTGCTCAAGGGATACTAATGGAAAAAAGACTTGCAGAATTTCAGTTGCTAAATACTGTGACTCTTCCTTAAGCAAAAGTGTCAACGAAATTATTCTGCATAATATGTTGCAGGAGCAAAGAGTTTTTTCTTGTTGTTTTGTAAGATCTTAGGCAATTAACAAAACCAGCAGGAAAGAAAATCTGGATTTGGTTCTTTTAGTTGCATAAGGACTTTGCTTTTAATAAACTCCTATTTACTCATTCATTTATTGTTAAATTATATCTGTGTTCAATCAAGAGATGGATTGTTATTTTGTTCTGCATATATCAATCAAACTCAGTCATATCAGAATGCAAGTGGAGCATATTTGTGTATGAATGTTTCTGTTAAGAAATTCGCCTATAACAGGTACAGAATACTTCAACTGCCCTGCAAACTGGAATCCCACATCCCAGACAAAGCTCTTAAATTGCGCCCATCACTTCTCATATTTCAACATCAAGACTTTTGACCTTCATCCCATTACATAAGCTTGCCAATCTCTCTTTTGGCTGTATAGTCGTTACAAAAATGAAGAGATTTGAGTTCCCTGTTTTCCATTTCACCTTTCAGTGACACATCCCCAGTTTAATCTTCCCATTGCCTAGTTATTGCAAAAATGGGCAGAAACACTGGGAAGATGAGTATACCTTCCTCTGGAACAATATATACTCTAACATATAAATTAACTGAAAGTTCTCATTTTAGTTGTTGTAATATAGAATATTCTTACTCGTTCTTGTCTGAGGATTTCTGCAGAAGACAAAGTTTATGGTGGGGGTTGTGTGTGGGGGCGGGAGGTTGTGTATTTTTGTTTGTTTTTTAAATGGCATTATTGTAAACAATCCCACTTGGTCCTATTTGATTTTAAGTGTCAACCCTCTGTCTTTTGTTGAGGTGATTTCTGTTACTTCACCAGATATTTTCATCAGCATCTGCTACACGCACCTAAAAAATATGTACAAAAATTATCTTGCATTCGGACTCGGTGAAAATGTGTTTGACAGTGCAGTGTTCCCTGGTGTCTGCTGTAGAACTTTCTTTAAATTGCAATTTGTTTAGGTGAGCACAATTGTATTACTTCTGTAGGAGCTCCAAAAACATAGAATTCAGATTATGGCTGTTGGGACAAAATGCTATTTATAAGCATGATGAAGCTATGCCTGTTAGAAAATAAAACAGAAAAGCAAACTGCATTATCATCTTGTTACTATGCAATAAGTAGTAGATAGATGGTGAGAGGGAGGCATGATGAAAGGGTTCAGGAATAAGACAATCTGATGTATCCCCTATTTGGAAGGTAGTTTTTGTGTGATCCTATTATGTACTTCAGAACTAGATAACCTAACATTCAACAGCAATGTTTGAGGGACAGGTGTTCCAGTTAAAATTCAGATCCCATTTAAGTATCGCTAGAGCTGGTTGAAGGGAAAAGAGGTGGTTACTTTGATTAGTGATTAAAATTAATAAATTTTTTTTTTTTTTTCTCTACAAGATGCAGGTCATTTTAGATTTTTTTCCACAAACATTGAATGAGAAGTCGACTGGGAGTACAATATTCTCACATCTGTTCTGCTTACCTCTTGATTCTTGACAAGAGTTGTGTTTCTTTGAACATTCTTTCTCTTGCATTAGTTTTGCAGCTGAAAACAATTCCGTCAAAAGTGTCTCTGACCCTAATTACGTCTGACACTTAGGAACACATCAAAAATAAAAAGCCAATTTTCAAAATATTTTTAATGTCTTAATTGGAGGGACGTCTGTAAGTGTTGTTTTCTTGTCAGTGGATTGTGGTACAATATACGTATCATTTTGTTTTCGTATTTGAATGTTTTTAAAATCTTGGGATCTAGTAAGCAGATTTAGAGTAATATTGGATATATATTAAATGATTTCTCTTTTAAAAAATAATAAACTAATTGTATGTAAACATTAATCAAATTAATTAGGCATACTATTTTTTCTTCTCTAGTGAACAAACATAAACCCTGGATTGAGACATCATACCATGGAATCATAACCGAAAATAATGACACTGTAATTTTGGATCCTCCTCTTGTTGCTTTGGATAAAGATGCACCTGTTCCCTTTGCAGGTAGGAATATGCATTAGCAGTAGCATTTAAGCTTATGGACTGCATTATAAAGTTATTAGCATTAAGGAATTAATCTGTGGTGCAGGAAGAATGTAATCTGAAGGATGTGTTTAGAGGCTGTATTTGAGTACTCAGGACTTAACCATAGACCCAGCAATGAGATGTCTTTTACAATGAATGTGTCTGCTCATTTGTTGTTAAGCAGAAGTGATTATAAACAGTGTAAAACACCAGGCATGCACTATCAACATTTTTTAATGAAAACACAGGAATCATATAATTAAATTTGAATTCACTTTTATAGAAACTAATCATTACAATTGCCTAAAGTAATAATATGTATTTAGTTCTGTTTAGAAATAACAGCATTTGTTCTTCTCTTCCTGTTCTGCTCCATGACCTAAACCTGGCTATAGGCAAATTATGTGACAATTATTTAAAGGTGCTGAAATCTTATGTTAACTACATTAGTACTTTATAACTGTCAAGACTTGGGCAGAAAATTTAATGGAGATTTTGAAGATTTGTATGAAGATTACTGTATGCTAGATGAATGTCTTACAGACATTTATAAAGCCTATTTTCCTGATACTTATTCTGTCATACTATATACTTAAGCAGCAAAGAGTACGTTTGCACATCAAACAAATTTTCTCTTAAATTCCCTGTTTCATTAAGAATATTTATTTTAAGGAGATGGGAAAATGTTAATGCTTCACAGCTGTACTGAGATCCTAAAATGATGCTTTAAAAAAAAAAAAATTGTTTAAGAATGTTCATCTTGTATAAGGAAAGGAACTGAGGAAGATTAATATCCTTAGAATGCTCTTGTGGAATACAGTTATAATCAGTAAGCAGTAAGTCACAATACTTGGTCCAAAAAGCATTTTACAGCAGCATCTCAGTATTGTTATTAGCTATTTTCTGGCATATACAGGCATAAAGCATATACTGGCATAAACTCATTCCATGCAAGACAGGAATTCACAAATGTTTTTATATACTGAACCTAATTTTAATATCAAGATTGGCCCCCCCAGGTTCTTGGTTTTGCAGAACATTTTTTCCTCAAACATATGTGCAGGGGGGATATTCAGTGCAGAGGACTTGACTAAATTCAGTCAGAGGTGAAAGCCTCAGGTAGCATATATACACAGACACAACCTGAGCACCAAAGACTTTTGTCCACATATCAGTTTCTATGGCACCGAATTACTTGCTAATGGAGGCATAATCAATGTGCATTCAGAGGTAAGTAGACAAGCCCCTATCTGGGACATGCTAATTATAATTAGGACAGGAGTGTTTCATAGAAAGATTCTCAGGATAAGGTATCTTGATTCGTGATTCAGTAACTATTATTTTAAGCAAAGGGGAAAAATATATATATATATATTTTTCCAAATTTTTTTTTATGCATTTATAAAGAAACTACCATATTTTAAAACAAAAACTGTGGAATGGGACTTCAAATGATAAGCTGTTTTCCACAGTCTGGACTATTGCGTCCAGTTCTGGGCCCCTCAGTTCAAGGACAGGGAACTGCTTGAGAGAGTCCAGTGCAGAGCCACAAAGATGATTAAGGCAGTGGAGCACCTCTCTTACAAAGAAAGGCTGAAGGAGCCGGGTCTCTTTTGCTTGGAAAAGACTGAAGGGTGACCTTATTAATGTTTACAAATATGTAAAGGGTGAGTGTCAGGAGGATGGAGCGAGGCTCTTCGTGGTGACATCCAATGATAGGGTTCCATGTGTTTCCCTGTGACCTGATCTAGGCGTTCCTGCGCCGGCAAGGGGATTGGACTAGATGATCTGTCATGGTCCCTTCCTGTTCCTAACATTCTGTGAAGGTCTCTTCCCACCTAGATGATTCTATTGCTCTATAATGTATTTGAGTAATTTTTTATTTATTTTCCTTAATGCTAACTTTCACATTTATATGCAATTCATTTTTCCAAATGTTTGTGTGAAACACAGTAAACGTAAGTTTATTTCAGCAAGGATTTCATCTCGTTGTGAAATCTTCAGCTACAGTTATTTAGGAATAAAGATCAATTCATAATGAAAAGATATCCTTTTCGTGTGTCTGCAGTCCATCTCATTTGCTTCTTTCATTTGCATTCCCTTGGGAACCTTACAGAGATGTTAATCGTGCTGTTTCCAGTGATACTTCTTCAAACTGTTTACTGACTTCTTTTTTTTTAATTTAACTTCTTCATTTATTAATTCTATTCATATTTTAAGAAGCACTATGGGATTTGGGATGGAAAATACTTGGTGTGTATCACTGACATTAATATTTCAACTTATTTCCAGGTAGTAATGTGCTTTTGACCTCATGATCTGCAATCCAGTTGTAACATTATAATAATTATTGAACCCTTAATTTCCTCAAAGGACCTGGATTCCCTGTCTGTTTTGAAATACCTTTGTGTGTTTTTGTTTTAAAGGTTCTTGCCTTTTTAATTGTTGGAGTAACATTTCTTCTTATTTCTGTTTTAAATTTACTATTTAATATCAGGTAATTTTATTTGGCTTCATAACATCCATAACATTATTATAGCTCTTTAAGTAAAATTCAATTTGTGTAATGTGTTTAGTAGGAGCAAACTGAAAATGCGCACAGCTGTACACATTAATAGTATTCACGAGCTCTACATTTGATAGTATTTTAATTTGGAGTTTGTTCTATGGCCATATTTTTTTTAGGCGTGGGAAACTTTTACAATGCAATATATTGGTCTTCAATGGTACAAGAGAATCAGAGCTCCAACTATTCCTTCCCCATTGCCCTACTAATGTATTTTTTTTTTTTTGTATTTTATCCACCTATTTTGTAAAAAAATTTTAAATTTTTAATCTTTCAAAAGACTTTTCCATGAATTGTTTTTTAAAAATGGTCTCAGATTTAAGAATTTATCATATCAGGGCAAAGTTTCTGACCTATAAGCTTGGATACCTACTTAGACTTCCTTGGATAAACTATATTAAGCCTAAATGTATGGGTCTTCTTCCTTTAGAGCTACAGCTGCTGCAATAGTTTACTTGCAGAGTTTTGGCTGTTCATCAATACTTGTGTTGGCTTATATAAGGAGGCATTTGTTCTCAGTAATACCAGTATGTATGTAAAGAAACAAACTGCCTACCAAATTGCTATATTATCCTTTCAGATTTCATCCGGGTATAAGTTCCATAGAAATATAAAAGTCAACTATTGACAAAAAAAAAAAAAAAAAAAAAAAAAGCTCTGTTAGCCATCAAGTTGATATTCCGAGGGAATACCTCTGTAGGTGCATAGCCAGGTGTTATATGGACAATATAATCTTTCTTCTTTTCTTCATGCTTTCTCTTTTAAGTGTTCATCTTCCATAAATGACAGGCAAATTACAGGGTTTATCACTACAGGGTGACAGGTCAGAGTAGGTAAAATGCACAGTTATTCTATACATTTATTTAATTTATACATATGATTCTATGATATATTCCATATTTATTTATATATATCTATATATATTCCCAGTGAGGGCATAGTCCTTTGGGACTCTGCCAAACTTGTGGAAGTAAGGAAGTGTGGAAGTCCTTGCATTTATGGCCAAAGTAAGGGCAGCTTCAGAAAAGAGGTGCACAAGTGTTGAGGCAGAAAGTGTTGCCTCAAAATGAGTGCACTGGGGCCACAGGTCAGAGAATATAAACTTTGCTGTGTTTTGTCTCCAAATTAAATCTGCATTCTGCTTTATAAAACAAAGTTATATGGGATATCTGTGGATATGCCAACACAGTGGTCTAAGATTATAATGATGATATAAAGATTTGTGCTACCAATAACAGGTGCCAGTGGAGAATGAGATTATGCTATTTTTTGTGCAAAAGAAAGCACAGGTCCACTGTACTGCCCTGGCTTAAAGGAACCAGGAAGGGCTGTTTGTACCACTCAGTGTAAGATCTCTTAGTTCAGCAATAGGAGCCTGGAAATAGTGCAGGTTTTCCAGTTCTGAGCTGTTTATTATCAAGGATCCTTTGAGCAAAGTACAGATTGCATTGCTCCTGTCCATTACCCTGGTGCACAGGTGGCTTACACACTTCATATGTTGCATCTAAGCAAAGTATCTTTCACCTGATAGCTGCTGAGTTACTAGGAACAAAAGCAGAACTAATTTATTAAGACACATTTGATATTCATCTGTGATTCTTATCTGCCCCCCAGTGCTTCTGTTTGCTTTCTATACCAGTTCTTATATTCTTAGTTTTTAGTTAAAATGTTAGTTGTGGCATAGACCTGGTCTTTTTCTGTTTTCCTTTATGGAAGCTTTAACTTAGTTAGAACATATTTTAACATTTTTTTCTCCAAGGCTACTGAGGTAAATCTTGTCAATCCATTCTGGTAATACACACATTATCATGCATGTCAAGTCCCTGTTCACAGAGTGGTCACAAAAGAAAATGCCTTCAGTCAGCACAGTTTTTTTCTCCTTTGTCATATTTTTGAAATCAAGAGTGACGACAGGAGAAAGAAATCTGTGTAGTTGCCACCTCAGCAGGTCTGTGTTTCCAGGGAGGACTAACAGGAGATTTAGAAAATTCCTAAGCTGGCCTGTGAAAATGCTAGTTACCTGATACGATCAGCCTCTTTCATGACTGGAGCATGAAGAATTTCACAATATTGCAATGACTGTCTTTGGTCTTAAGAATTTATTGTGAATTGCACAATAATCAGTGTACATGTAAAACTGTAGTTCTTGGAATTTTCATGGAATTAGTATGCTCATTTTTTATTTCGTATTTTTATTTTTAATGCAAGCACATTTTTGCTGGATTCTAGTTATAAAGGGAATTTTAAAAATACTGTTGTGAATGTCTAAATGCCATTAACACCCGGGACGCAGCCGTATGCAGGGTACCACAAAATAACCATGAATAAACTACAAGTCCTGTAGATACAGGTTAGGCCTAGTCTGTCTTCTTAAGCAGTATAGCATTAACTGTAGAATGAGCTTTGTTACTCT